GTTATATACCTGGATGACTGAGAAAACAAACTTTGTGTTTTTGAAACCATTAGTGAAAAGGCCAGACTTCAGGGGTATCTGAGGCAGGCTTGAAACACAAGAGTCAGGGTGGCTTCTGGGTAATACCAGATGGCTAGGCCTCAGACTGACGAAGCCTCTTGGACGAGGGGCGAAACGTATCTTTTTAACAAAAAAACGAAGTCCAGATGACATGATTCAACCTTTTTTGTTATTAGAAAGAGTTATTCATTTTGTTCTGTTACTTTAAAATTATTATGATTGAAATAATTGTTTGAAAAAAGGGGCAGATATAATAAGATTTTTTCTTCTTTCTGCTGCCTTTCATTTTAAATCTCTTGTATCTTTTTTTATATTGTTATGGAATTGTTTTGTACTTTTTTAAAATGAATAAACTTTATACCATACCATACAACAGGGTATAGGTTTAGGTTGGCTTGTAAAGACTAATATGTGAAGAGTGAAGGAGGATAAATACTAATGTTGGTAAAACACTGAGGAACAACTGAACACAAAGAAATACAGAAAGTAGATTTTACAAAAAATAGACAAGAGTAAGATAAACCCAACAAACATAAAAAAACTATTATAGAAGAGTGCTGGTGAAGATTCTCAGTCATCCAGGACATGGTAAATTCAAAACGGTTCAAGACAAAAACAATGGACTTTATTAGAAGACGTTTCCCTTCTCATCCGAGAAGCTTTCTCAATTCTCAATTCTCATCTCTGCTCTTTGAAGTGAGAAAGCTTTTTGGATGAGAAACCAAACATCTTCTGTTACAAAGTCCAGTTGTTTTTGTCTTGAACATTTTTGAATTTATTAAACAAAAGCCAAACAGATTCTAACATGAGACTCATTGTTTTTATTTTATCTTTTTATTTATTTGGAGGCAGCTGTGGCTGAGTGGTTAAAGTAGTCATTCTCCAATGCAAGAGTTGGGGGTTTGATTCCACCAGCAGTCAAATGCCGAAGTGTATATGGGCAAGACACTGAACCCCTCATTGCCTCTGATATGTGTGCCATCGGTGTATGAATGTGATAAAGCACTAATTACTCTCTTTAGAATGATTTGATCAGTTAGCTTTGTATAGATATAGTAGTGCTGTATGAATGGGTAAATGAGGACACAGATCGTGTTGTAAAACACTTTGAGGGTCTTGATAAGATCGAAAGGCGCTATATAAGTACAGTCCATTTACCATTTATTTATTTATTTATTGTCATTTCTCTGCGCACAAGATAGTCTCACAGACTAGATATAAATTTGAGATGTGAAGCAGTGTTCATGGTATTGGAGTTTTCACACACAAACTTGATTGTTGTATACATCCCTTCTTCTTTTCAAAACAAAGCACAGGAAATCTGATTCTACCACATTAATTACTAACAAACACTATATTTTTGCCATTTTTCTGTTTACCTAAAACCCAATCATTTCACACTGAAAACACCTCCACTTGTCTCCTGGTAACACATATAAGGTAAAACACAAGTGTTAGAGTTTATCTGGGCCTGAGGTGTTGCATACAGGTATCACTGATCACATGTTGACACAGTAAAGCCTGCGACTTCTGTGAAATAATGCCCGATGGACATCCCATTGTAAGTCAGAAACATGTATCACTGAGCATGATGAACCAAAAATGGATAAACTATTTCCGAAGTCAGAACACAAAGAATTAAAACTTTAAAATTAGATTAATTAGAAAAGAGCTGCTGCTTCTTACCAGGTGTGGCTTCTATCACTCTGGCTTGTCTTTCAGGAGGAAAAAGGACCTTGGGAGGTTGAGTTGTCTGCAGAGCTGAGGGAGAAAATATTCAAAGCAGATGTTAACTGTGACAGCTTAAACCTAAAGAACATTGGCTGGTTAAATTAATGTGTAATGGACTCATAAAAAAGAATGAATCTTGAAAGGTAAAATATGAACTGATTTAGATAACAAGATTTTATTGATACCTTGGGAAACTTCCTTCAGGGAAAAACAGAATATTTAATAGCATGGCTTGAGTAATGTCACTGTATTTTTATTTCACTGTATTTCAGGCTGTATGTATGATTGATTAACTCATTTTCCTTCAAACCATTAGTTTGTGTTAGATTACATGGTTCAGACAGAAGGGACACTCTAGCCTAAAATATGCATGTGTCATGTAGTTCTGATTAGTAGTGATGTGCGGATCGATACTAAAATATCAATACCAGAACTTTGTGCTCTGGAAAGCCTCTTTTTTACACATCTTCTGAATTGAAAATTTTCATGTATTTAGTCAGCTGGTCCCTCAACGCAATTTAAAAAAAAAAAATTCCACCAGAAGATAGGGTGCTGGAGAGCTGTCATGCCCTGAATGGACCCACACAACTGGGTGTCATTAATTCCTGGGGGGAGTGGAAGATTTTGTGCCTATCTGTTATGTCCATGGAGGACGTAGAAGTGGACAGATATGTAGATATGAAGATATGTACAGGAGGCTGTGGCTGAGTGCTTAGAGCAGTCATCTTCCAATTCAAGAGTTGGGGGTTCGAATCCACCAGCAGTCACATGCCAAATTGTTCCTGGGCAAAACACTGAACCAACCCCTCATTGCCTCCGATGCGTGTTCAATCGGTGTATGAATGCAATCTGAAGCTCTGATTAGTCTCTTTAGAAAGATTTGTTTAATTAGCTTTGTAGACATCTAGTAGAGTGCTGTATGAATGGATAAATGAGGGCACAGATTGTGTTGTAAAGCACTTTGAGTGTCAGATAGAAAGGCACTATATAAGTACAGTCCATTTACAGTCCATTACATTATTGGATTTATGATAACAAGGTTTCTGCTTTTTGGAATCTGCAGATATCTATAATATCAACAAATTAGGAAGACATCAGCAGCAGTTTCGGCCATGGTAAATCTGTCAGCCTTATGTGAAAGATTAATTCATGCCTCGAGCGCTCAGACATAGGCTGAACAAGCTCAAACACAAACTGGACGCAATTTCTGAGAATCGTAGGCCACTTGTAGCTCCTGGACTTCGCCAGAATGAAGGATTCAATCTTGGAGAAAGCTAATCGAGCTCAGACCGGGCAGAACGTCTATAAATCTGGTTGTATGGATTTGTCATTGAGTGTTCCAGCAGAACTTGAAGGCAGACAGAAATCAGAGTCTTGTCAGGTTTTTCGTGGCAGATCAGGACAGAAGAACCCAGTTGCGCAGGCAGGACTCAGGAGGCAGATGTATAAAATAAAATACTTTTAATAATAATAATAAATCAAAAAGGCTGACATGGCAGCAAAACTTACATGGACTCAAGAAACACGATCACTCAGGCAGGACAAGACAGGACATACCCAACGACGAACCGACAATGACAGAACTGACAGACAGACTTTATATACACACAACCAGGACATGACACAGGTGACGATAATCAGAACAATCAATTCAGACACAAGGGAGAACAGACAGGGGGAAGGCCCACTAGATGGTGCCATCCTTACAGTACCCCCCCTCAAGGACGCCCCCTGGCGTCCCCAAGAAACCCCCTCCCAAAAGACTAGGGCGGGCGGAGGGAGGAACTGCAAGGGTGGTGGGCCTGAACGAAGACACACAAGGACCAAAACAAAAACAGGACAAGGCCCAGGAACTAAACTAAGTAGGGAAACATAAAATGTCTAGATGGCCGGGAGACCAGCCACTGGCTCAGAGCAGGTCAGGTGGGCGACCGGGAGGCCGTCCAGCACGGGACCATCGTTCAGGGGGGCGGCCGGGAGGCCGTCCAGCACGG